AATGCCATTCCCTGCATTTTGGAAGGTATTTTACAGAGTTCTTAAGATTACAAAACATCCTATCAAAGCCTGACCTGTTTGAAATCATTTAATCTTTTGTTTTAATTTTGATGTTCTGACTAGAGGAAGTAAAAGGTTTGTTTATTGCTTCACAGTTTTGTTTATATGAACTTTGTTCAGACAAAAGTAGGCAAGCTACAGGCCCTTAATGACAGCTCTGGGTACAAAAACCCCACAAAAGTTCTCACTAGATTACTTCTGTTTTATGTTATGGCAAGGCCTTTTCTAGTCCACCATACCATTTACTCCTCTGACCAGTGTGACGACCAGCAATGTTACCTGGCTCCAATTGTCGATTAAAGGTAGGAATAGCACCAGCTACAAGCCTTTTGCAGGTGGGAACTAAAGCAGAACATAAAATATCTGATTATATATATAGTAAGTACTGACTTAATTTATACAAGTATTGTTAAGATAGTAATTATAACAAAATTCACAGCAAACAAGATTTATAATAACTGTAAATGGGGCTTTCATATACTACAACATGGCCAAACAAAAATCCTGTTACTTTATTATGCCAGTTTCTTGCTATTAAAATAGCCTTTGAATATTGTATAATACTTTGTTTACTGTATGCGAAAATGTTTCTACTGTCCTCAGTGACAGTGTCCTGAATATAAATATGTATACCTTCATTTTATGAACACAAGGATTATAAACTGTTATATAAATATGACCTAATGACCGAAACGCACTTTTATGCAAATCATCAATATTTAATATATTTTTCCTGCCCTATGACCATATGGTTAATACAAATTTGATCATTTGATATATATATATATATACAGTACTTCTGCTATAAAGTTGAAACTTTCAAGCGTTCATACCGAAATATCAATACCTCTACCAGAGAAAGAAAATAACTTACATGTTTCAGCTGGGTCTTTTGAAAGTGTCTTTCACAAACGTGAAGTGTTTGTTGAGCGATTTGATTTCTTAAACTTGCATCTATCTCTCGATCCAGCGTCCTTTGTGACAAGCCTCGCCAACGCTTCGCGAATTTTCGTCGATAAATCGTCGTCTTTTGTTGGATTTCAAAAATACTGAGGTCAAAGTGTTTTCTACTAGTCCCGCAACCATGTATGGAGCAATTTGCACCTGGTATTTGGATATTCTTTCTGTAAAAGACGTTTTTCAAGTACTACAGCCTCCTCTGTAATACAATCTCCTATTACAAATAAATTTTGATGCACCCGTATTGTCACGTGACAGAGAACAATAACATAATTTGGCCACGCCCCCAGCTTCCAAACCCTGTCCTCTATTAACTATGGTGTAACTACAGTAAGTTTGTGCATGAATTGATTGTCATACAGTATGCATATTCACTGAGTATAACTTCAAGAATATGATGTTAACAGTATATAAAACACACGAAGGTTAGCCATTTTAACATGGATTTTGGTCCCCAAAGTTAAAATCTCGAATGTATTGGCGTGGACTATCGCATATGCATGTTGGCGTATATCTCCGGCGTAATTTACATGGAATGCACCCAAGCCAGTTGTTTGTCTATTAAAACAAATTTGCCAGCCCAGGCATAAAATTTCAATTACATTTACACTGGCACGCAAACTATGACCATGTTATGCCGCTTAAAATCTACCTAGTCACTTAAAACTACTTAAATAATTGTTTTAGTACGGTAGTAAGTGACTATTTTATACTAAAAAATCATAATTACTTTGTAATCAACAGAGTATAGTGCTGTGTTCCGACGTTCGGTCGGCCCTGATCGATATTTCGACGGTCAAAAACCAGTGCTCGGTGGGTGAAAATATCAAATTATTTACCTGCGATTTAGTTTCTTTCAACATTCAAATATTCTTCATTCTTCTATGATGTGTGCTTGTTCTTGAAATATCAGATTTGACTTGATTTCTTCGCATACTTAGCGTGCATAAGGCGAAAACTTAACTCCGAAAAATGTCAGTTTACAATAGAATCTATAGTCTTTCACTCCTCAAGTGGGGGCCATTCAACATGGCGCCCGGTCTCAAAAAATGACGTACTTTCGTCTTCACTTTTTGACTGGGCCTTCTATGACTTCTATTACGATGCTCTATCCAGTCTTAGACCCCGTTTACACGGTACCGGACGAATTTGGGACCGGACGAAAATTCGTCCTTTTTCGCCTGTTTACACGCGAATTCGTCCTGTTAGGGGGTCTCAAATTCGTCTGGTTCCGTGGTTCTCGTGTGTTTACACGGCCGAAACGGACGAATTTTCGTCCGGTCACAAATTCGTCCGGTACCGTGTAAACGGGGTCTTAGTGTATATGAGGGGCCTTCTACTATTGTTTCCAGTAAACTGCGAAACGATCGTTTTTTAGGCAGTTTGTCAGTGACAGTTTTGTCAATTTCGAAGGACATATTTGTGTACCTCGTGATCACAATTCGTTGCAAGCGGCGTGCACGTGAAAAACTGCAAGTTTCAGTTTGACAGTTCTGACAGTTAAATGGTTTCTAATTTTAATGTCCAATCAGGTGCGTAGTTTTGATTTAAAATCCAAAACTACGCATCTGATTGGACAATAAAATTAGAAACTCATTTAATTGTCAGAACTGTCAAACTGAAACTTGCAGTTTTTCACACGACGCTTGCAGCGAATTGTGATCACGAGGTAAACAAATAAGTCCTTTGTAAAAACGGTCGTTTCACAGTTTACTGGGAACAATAGTATTACGATATTCAAAAACGACCCCTCAAACCGAGAAGCTATAACGGCTTTTCAAACTGGGGTATTTGGTGCTTGATTTATTCAAACCAGATTCAAACGATGCGTAAACACGCGACATTCCGGTCACCGCGCGAAATGTCGCGAAAACACAATGATATTCAATTCATCATGCAATGGCCTGCAGTCATATTATTTTTCAGTTTTGATATATAGGAACATGGGTTCATAACTTCATACCCCTTATCACTTGTTCTTATCTATTTTCTATTATATTGATGAATAAGTATTAAAGAGACAATAGCTTGTTTAAGACTGATATTTACAGTTTATACACCCTTTTGGTAAATGGTTGCCAATTAAAAATTCTTTTATGTGCATATAAATTGCTCAACTAGCCCGTACTCATGTTAAGATTTCAAAGGAATTTCTACCCAGAAACGAGGCTAGTTGGGCCAATTTATATGTACATAACAGAATTTTTAATCGGCAGCCATTTATGAAAAGAGTGTATACTCGATAAAGCAATGTTGTTTGTTTGTATTAATATAAATAGGATAATTGTGATTTGCTATCAAATGTAATGAGAATACTGCTAATGAGAATACTGCTAAGCGTGTATATGTTTCATGTTTCGAGTAGTAATACCCAAGCAAGTGCACCTAGATGTGTAATTTTTGACGCCATCCTGGTACGGGAGCTCCTTATTGTCCAGGTATAGCATGTGGTCAGCATGTTACATTTTCCAAAATGAAAGTTAGCTAAAATTATTGGGGGGGGGGGTCGATCGCCTCCCCCCCCCCTAGTTTCCCCCACTGGAGTCAGGTATACGAGTATCATCAAGATACTGTTCAAGGGAGGATTTTCATATTTTTTAAACGAGTGGGAAAATTTCTAGTGAGGTGAAAGCAGCACCAGTGATCGATCTTCGGCAGGTGTTGGTCATTAGGGTTAAAGACCTTCACACAAAACAGGACGCGTGAAGCGAAATTTTGGTGGGATTGAACACTTTATAAGAGGGGTTAGAGAGATTCCAGGACTGCCCCAGTAAATCTGCCCATGAAGCTGTTAGAAATTATTGGGTAGGTGAGGGAGAGGGGGAGTGGGGGTGGTGGTCACTATGCTTTCAGTTTGAAATGTTAAAACCCCCTCCCAGTGTCTACTTTTGTTGAATGTGAGGAATAATGATGCTACATGGATATATCATGGACATCTTATGAACTCCATTCACTAGCATTAGGCTGTATTCTTGTCAAACTTATGCTATGAATGACCCCATTGTCATAATCACTTCATATCTCTCCATAATAAAATGGTCAATGTTCCATCAACACCTGATATATATTTCAGAACAGTACAATTAATTTGTTTCATTTTATCTTTCTGTTTTTCAGATAGTCGACTTAAAGGTCAAGGGTATACAATTCCTACAGAAAAAGATTTGTTTCCTTGGAGGAGGCTGAATCTCATCATGTTTGGGCTTGTCTATAAGTGACAGTTTGGCTGAGCTTGTAATTGACAACAGAAAAGATCATTTTACCAAAACACACAAGCCTGTAAATGTTGAATCTGAGACATATTATAAAACCAAACAGCATCACAATGTGAACTGAAACACCACAACCTGCAGACATTGCTCAAACATTGCCCACATTGGAAAGTGTATTAAATTTGGCAAGCCATTTGGAGAATACTCATTGCATCTCATAATCCAGACTGCCCAGTAAAGCAATAATAAACCATATTTTAAACTTTATTGATACTTCATCAGTTTTACATTATTTCAAATTACACCATAGTATATATTATTGACATTAAGTCATGCCGAGGTAATATGTAAAATAAGGGTGAACCGAACCAATTTTTAAAGTTCCGGCCGGAACTGCAAAAAAGTTCTGGCCGGAACTGATTTATTAAGCCATATATAGTGAAATGTTACTTTGTCTGCTGCCAGACTAATAATGAATATAAGTATTATTACTTACAGTTTAATGTTACTGTGAAAATGGAAACATTTTGGAAATGTGGAGTCTCCTTGGTCATGTCTCCCACCTGTCACAACACCTCTCAACATATTTGGTTGGTCGATTTTTAACTCTAGTTCTGATTCAGAGCATAGAGTTCACTTTTTTAGGCCCCGAGAATTACCTAAAAATCTACTGGATATCTACCTGAAATAGCTCATGAGCAATTATTAGGGGGTGTTGCACCACTATGGCCCTGCCAAGACCTTTTATTTGGTAATAATCGTTAGCAATTAAAGATATGCTGATACCAATGTGTGACACTTAATATGACATATTTCTACCTGAGGCTCATCTTCAGAGTCAATCAAGCCCATGTCAACATCTTTTTGTAAAGGGCGGAGATATATTTTGGCATAACCAGCTGCATCTTTCAACCACCTTGCAGTTTGTGGACCACCAATATTAACAAAACCAGAATCATCTCCCCTTTGAAAAAGCAGCATTTCATATCCAGTTTCTTTCAACTTAGGAAATCTTTCCAAAATCTTGTCATGGCATTCCAAGCGGCTCATATCCAGAAAAAAATGGATAGATGCTTCACCCAGGCCAGCATTTAATAAGGCAGTTTTGTCACGTATTTTGCTGGGTGGTTTTGAGGTGGCCATTTCTGACAAAGCAACAAACTTTAAAGTACATGTTGGCTTTCGTTCTTTTCCCTTATTTGACTTTCCATTAGTACATTTCACATTTCTGCCACCAAATGAAAACAGACGCCTATGTTCTTGTGCCTGCCTCATTTGGGTTATATTTGGTTTCAGGATTTTTGAATGAGTAGATGTTGATGGCACATTTGAATGTGTTGATGGACAGCTTGTACCAGCTTGCTGTACTGATGTTCCTGATGAAGTTTGTCTTGATGGTCCAGGAAGAGTCTGCCTTGAGGGTCCTTTATTAATTAAGAATTCATGTTACAGTTAGATAAAGTTTTTTTCTAATATTAAATAAACAGAAAATGCAATGACAGTGCAAATTAAAGTGTTGTCACAGTTGTTGACATAACATGCCTCCAAAGTTCTTTTGCAAATTTTCAAAACTGTTCAGGGACCGGTCAATATTGATGGAAGGGGTGAGGGGAATTTTTCTTTCCCAAATTTTTAAAATTGAAAGCCCTCCCCTTAAAAGAGCAGAAATATAATGGTGACCCCCCCACCCTGCATATTAGAATATTTTTCTTTGAGCCCCCAGAAATACTGTACTATGAAATACTGTACTTTGGCATACAGAAATACTGTACACACCAAACCTGGGTATAAAACCTCTGTCTCATCAATATCACATGTACCTCTTCATCATCTCATCTGTTGACTCTCAATGAGGTGGTAGAACTCCTAAGCAGACAGGATTCATATTTTGATGGTAGCAATTACATGGTGCTTGTCTTTATAAATTTAGTTGTGGAGTACTGTTGATCATCACTTGATGGTGATGGTAGAATATCAAATTCCCACAACATATTACATGTAGTGAATATTCTCCTTGCCAGGGTCATCCAAGTCGAAGAACTAATACAAGATATACAAGAACAAATCAGTTTTATATATAGTCAGAATAACTTCAGGAGATACTGTATAAAAGATTGTACAAAGTCCTAATATGCCCTAAAAGTCCATATATGCCCTAAAAAGTTAAAGTGGCTTCCAAACTAATTTTTAAGCTTATGATTTTAAATCTTTATCATGATTTGAGGTTTCTGTAGTGATATTATTCCTGAAGTCGATATAATTGGTGTTATATTTATTATATATGGCAATTTTATAATACCCTATTAAAACATGGCAAATTTGATATAAATCTTATATTTATTGAAGCTGTGCGTGTTTGATGTTTCTACAAAGTTCGCTCGGATATCTATAACTTCTGTATTAATCTCTTACTGTGAAAAGCTCACCTTAAGTACCTTAAAAACACAACTAGAATGCATCATTCAGTAAACATTTGGGCAAGTTTAACTCCATTCACCTCGCTATTCACAGTTGGTAGACAAATTGCATGGCTTCTCAGCTGAAACTAACGTTAATCTTATGGCACTGCTCAACGTACACACGTTACTCCCTCAGGGGCTAGATACAAAGGCTGTGAGGACGCAACAAACATAAATCAGATGAGGTGCTTCACTGCTTCCAAAAGAGAAGCTTTAATCCCATACCAGGAAAGAAAAATATGCCTGTTAGTATTTTTTATACAAAGAATACTAATGAGGACACGGCTACAATAGATACTGCCTTATTAGTATTCTTCATATAAAAAATACTAATTAGAAGTGTTTTATCAGGTTTACTGTCGTTCCAATTGAAGTGTTCCTCAAATATTGATTCAATACATTACCTCGGGCTGACCAATTCATTTGATCAAGTTCCTCGAGATATTCATACACTTCCTAGTATAATTGTAAACTTCCTGTTGAATAGTTTGAATGCACCAATCACCTTTGTTGTTTGTGCAACTAACCAATCATAAATAGAAAGGAAGTGACCAGAAATGATCAAATACTTGGAATTGGCTCTTTCGCAGGAAGTGTATGAATATCTCGAGGAACTTGATCAAATGAATTGGTCAGCCTGAGGTAATGTATTGAAGCAATATTTGAGGAACACTTCAATTGGTACGACAATAAATTAAAGCCACTGCACGTGACATATTATGGTTGACATGCATGAATTGCCAATAAGCTTACGAATTATTAATGAGTGTTTGAATTAGATATAATGGTTAAACATATCGAGGTTGTTATACGGTACACCCATATTTTCAAATCTACCATACTTTGCTACAATATCACATGTATACCTCTTCATTACTATCCAGTCATGCATATAATATAAAGTTATAAACAAAATGTAAAGCGTAACAGCTAGTACGGTGAACGTACAGATTTCCCCATCTCAAATAATGCTAATGTTGGGATAGTAGCGTTGTAGGCCACAGAAAAAATATGGCCAGTAAGCCTCCCTCATGCACCACCCCATGGAAAATGTGCATCCCTCCTTGCAGATGAGGCCAGATCTGCCCCTGAGTTTGCACTAGCTAGGCTCAAGCCAAGGGTATGCAAAGATAGGAATACAAAACAACTGTAAGCCGTTTTCAACAAGACATCAGGGGCACAATAATACAACCTAATAAAACATTCCTGCTCGTTCATTAAACAGCACTTCAAGCATTCTGAGTATTTTCTTGTGAACTCACAAATCAATTAAATCCTTTCAAGAAATTGGTGTGTGCGAACAGTAGTAGTTCCGCTAATCGCCATTTGAAAAGCAGAAAATATATGGTTAAACAGACTTGTTATGGCACGCTGGACTTCTCCAGGGGATGCTATACACCACTAGGTGGAGTGTGTTGCCCCATGGTAGATCTGTCCCTTTATCGCTAGACTTATCAGCTATGTGCAGCTTGGCAAACTCTAATAGACTTATCAGCTATGTGCAGCTTGGCAAACTCTATAACATGTGACTATATTTACATGAGCAAATTCCCCCAGTGTGCAGTTTGTGTTTTGAGAGTTTTCTTTATGTGTGCCTTCAGCGTCGAATATTCAACATGTTGAATTGTTTTTGGCACTATATATAGTGACGATTTCCTCCCAGTATGCGCACAGGAAAAGCAAACAGCTTACAATATTATGTGAATATGCATGCTTATTTTTCACCCTGCTCGGTTTCCTTTGTTCTTGTCGGGGAATATATTCAATATTCTCCTCTAATCAATTTCCGTTTAATAATCCCCTCTAATATTCACCTGCAATTAATAATCCCCTCTAATATTCACCTGCAATCTCTTTGCAGCACAAAAAATGAGAAAAAACAACATCGCAAAAGTAATATGGCATTGAGAATTATTTCTTTTCTGACTCATTAACGCGACCTCGCAGTGTGAAAAATAAGTACGTTATTTTGAGACACCTCGGGGATATGTGTTTATTCACCTCGGCGCTACGCGCCTCGGTGAATAAATCACATATCCCCTCGTTGCCTCAAAATAACCTATACATAATTGGCAACCACACAACACCAATCACTGGCATTTTTATTTGTAAGATGCAAGTGATATGATTGAATAGTTTACATGAATCCGCCCTCGCGAAAAAATGCTTTAATCGATAATGTCATTTCCACCTTATCATAGTTACCGACCGCTTCTGAACAACATTTTATTGTCTATAAAAATCTAAACTACGGCTTTGAAACAAGTCAAGATAAAACATGTAATGTCTATATGCGGTATTCCGCAATGTTTTTACTTATCTTTATTGCCAATTCATAATGTTTTACTTATCTTTGTTGTCAATTCACAATGTTTTTACTTATCTTTATTGCCTTCATAACCTGGTTAGCTTAATCAAAGATCAATGAAAATTAATAATAGCCAAATAGGAAAGATTGTATTAATCGAGGGCCAGGTCACATGTCAGCGGCAACTGCATGCATGCGAATGGTATATACGAAATACGCACACATGCAAAAGATAATTTTGAGTAACGCGCAGTCGAGGAAACTTATTTAGCAGAGGTTTATAAGACCTGACCAGAAACGATTGCAAAAAATGCATCACATTAAGGTCCTCTGGTAGGAATTTAACCTACTGCCCAGCGATTCCGGTGCAGCGCCGTAACCAACTGAGCTACAGAGACCAGCTGTTGTGCTGTAACCGTAAGTTCATGTAGGCCTATATATATTTCCGTAAGTTCATGTATATTAATATTAGAAATTAGTTCCACCAAATGAAGTGCAATTAATTCCAGCAAAGCCCGTTTACACTACGCTCAAGTTTTGGTACGACACGGACAAAATTGGTACCGGTACCACTTTTTTGGTTCTTGGACTACCTATTTAGTATACCACTGAAAAATCGAGCGTAGTGTAAACGGGGCTAAAGTGAAGTGCAAGAAACCAGAAGTTCGTCTAATTGTTTTTACACTATGACGGGTGCACGATTTCTCCCAATCTATAAAATTTTGCATTGTGTTCATACGAGAAAGCGAGCTGGCCCGCTTGCCGAGATCTCGCTTGAATTTTCCGGAGAGATCACGCATACACACATATACACAAATACAAACATAGAATATTTGTTAGAGGGTATCCCAATCATCTTTTGTAACTAATTGCCGAGAGCAATAAGTGACTGGAGAATATGAAATGCTGCATGTGGGACTTGTAAACAAAGGAGTAAGGGGCTGTTTATATGGAAGCGAGCCAGCCCGGGTACCCGACTGGCTCGCATCCCCGAGATGAATTTCACCACGCGTTTACATGAAACTTACATCAAGGGCTGGCTCTTCGTGTTCTAATTTTTTTGGCGTAAACAACTACATATATGGAAGTTGGTTCCTTATATGGGAGTTGTTTGTGCATTCCGAATTATTCTAATTATTTGCGCATGCGTATTTGCTAAATTTCCAGCCCTACTAGGAGGCCTAGCCCTCCCTGGTGCGTTTGTATGGGAAACTACCCAGCTCGTTTACCCGAAGTCTCGGGTCACACGAAGCGGGACCTCGGTTAGGCGGTCCAGCTCGGTTCTCATATAAACGCAACATGAAATTTAGTAGGAAATATTAACAAAGACGGGATCCCGCCTAAAGCGAGCTAGCTCGGGTACCCGAGCTGGCTCGACTCATATAAACAGCCCCTAAGACAAAGCACATCGTTTTTCTTGCTCACCAGATATTATCATGTGCAAAGTGTTTTTAGGCCAGCTGGAAATGGCCTATTTACTGTTGCTGCATGCAACTGAATATTACACTTTGATCCAAAATTGTAAACTAAATATTTTAAACAATTTCAGTTTGCATTTGAGACTCTTAAATTTAATAGAAATTGAAATTTCGGTGGAACCAACGTTTCGAAGTTGAGGACAAAAGGATTCCCATATAATCGATGTTTCATAAATAAAGACTTTGGGGGGGACGGTAAATTGTTGTCTGTTTCGTTAAGATCGCTGCTGATGGGAATTTTAGGGATAAGCAATTTATTAATGAATGAATGAATGATAATAATATTTATTCAGGAAACCAACATCACATGCAAGAAGTGTTTTTCAGATGGTTCCTGCAAAACATTAAAATACAAAGTGTAGAAAATATATACAGGGTGTATCAAAGAAAGCGCAACCTCGGAATTTCCCAAGAAATCGACATTGTTTTAAAGACAAAAGATTTTAGGCGCCTGGGAATTTAAAATAGCATAACTGTCAATATTATTGCACACGCGAGTGCATAAAACAAAATTTATGCATTTATTTAATGCACAACAACAGTAATATGATCTATTAGCAATTCGATTTCAATTCCCAGGGGCCTAAAATCTTTTATGCTTAAGAATTGCAAAGTGATTTCTTAGGAAATTCCGAGGTTGCGTATTTTTTTATACACCCTGTACAGTATAGTGTGCGTGCAGTATTTACATATTGGTATATATGGATATATATGATATACCAGAAAAATTATGAGACTATAGGATACATGATGCTATACATATTTACAAGGATACAAAGAGTTAGTAAGTTGTATTTTAAATAGTTATGAGTATTATAAAGATAGAGATTTGAGAAGTTCATTCCTAAAGGTTCCTAATTGTTCAATGGATCTAGTATTATAGTTCGAATCGTTGTACTCTTTACAAGCCTGATAAAGCAGTTTTTGCTTTCCCCAGTTTGTCTTCGGCTTACAGAGGTATATATCATCTCTGCGTCTTGTGTTATATAAATGATTAGCTTTAGGCAGTTCGAGATTAAACTCTGTTAATTTATTTTTTAATTCATATATGGTTAGTATTCCGTGTAGTTTGCGTCGGTGGGCAAGTGGATGCCAGTGTAATTTGTTGAGGGCTTCAGTTGATGAGGATAGGTAGGGAGCGTCAAGAATGGTCTTTGCAGCCTTATTCTGGAGAACTTGTAGTTGATCCATTAGTAATTATAATAATTATATAATAATTATACTAATAATTGCAATTATGATGATAGTTTTGATTCGGATTGTTATGATAATTGGGATCGTCATAATAATGATGACGGACAACAAAGTTATCCCCAAACCGACGGCGCGGGTACTAATTCCCCCCGGCTATTTACACTCGAGGAAACGAAAGCATTAGCGAAGTCTAAAGTTCATCAAATATCGCGGGCGTCGGTCACAAACGGTGTTGAGTGGATGGTCATACTCACTGATCGCAAAAATATGGCTGATTGCTTGTAGCAGTGGGATGAGCAAGATTTCAATTCTAAAAGACATATATTTGGAAAATCGTTTCATATACAACAAGCTTGAAGCAATTTTGTTTGAAGAAATCAGAAGAATTGATTCACTATGGGAATCGTGAAATATACGGCAAGTTTCCTTTGAATATTTAATGTTTACGAATTTTGCCTAAAAACATGAACTGTTTTCCTTTTCAACGAAGCTCAAACTTTCGTAAATTACCGTGTAATTTGAGGAAAAATCTTAAAATGTAAAGGAGAACAAACAGATTTGAAGAAAGAACTGACATTACCTAACAATTTGTTTTATTTGTAACTTATTATGTTTTATTATTAGTTCATCGGCAAATGAGCTATAGTTGAATGAAGATTTCAAAACATTTTACGAAGCGTTTCAAATTAAATTTTACATTAAATCAAAGCTTACAAAATGCAAAACAACATACCTACAGTATATATATTCGGAAACTGTTTATTGTTGTATAGCTAAAAGTACGAATCTTTCAACTATTTTGCAGTTTTGTACAAAAAATATGAAAAAAATAAAAATATAAGTTGTCATGGCAACACTTGAGCGCGAGCCTGCATTCAGTGGGCCATTTCTGAATACTTCATGTTAATATAATGTTTGGAAAATATTGGCGAGGGGTAATTGCATGTATTTCTAGTAGTATTGTGAAAAGTGATGATAACCAGACATACTACCGGGTGGCCCAAAAAAAAGTACTCCTGTTTGATTCGTAATAACATCTAAACAAGTATAGCTTTTAAAGAGAAATAACTTGCATCAAATAGAGGAAGGACTAACTTAGACTTTGATATATTACAGTTGTATTTCACTTAAAAATTCACGGAGATATTAATCTTTAAATTCGGGAGGATATTTCTGGATGTGTCTGAAATATGCAAAAATCGGCGTATCAAATATTAATCAAGATTTGCCCGACTGAAACATGCACTATTACCAGTAAATAAATGACACTTGACAAATTGTTTATTATGAAACAAAGTATTATTATATCTACAAAATACAAGCAAGATTCATTCGTCCGAAATTCGCGTGTGTTCCTAGCACGAATACGTTTCTTTATTTCATGAGACCACTGCATCGCGAAGGATCGTCATTGGATCGTTCGTAGTTCTGAATTAGGGCATGCTGTCACAACGGAATTGTGAAGCTCTTCTAACTTCTGCAACGTTCTGAAATCTTGTTAAGAACACCCAAACTCTTTTGCCGTTTCTTAATCTTGGCAAGTTCATGGAGTAAACTGAGAATTATATGAAACACAATCAAACCATACAACTCCATAAGACATAACAATTAAGCAACTCCCCAGAGACATGCAACATTTTTGGAACAAAACGTAACAAAATAGTAGCGTTGATACGGTGATGTGTATTTGCAAAAAGCAATATTATTTCCTTCAATAAAGAATATTCATCCTGCTCTAACCGAGAAATAATCTACTCAGTCTGTTTGAACCCATTAAAAACATAAAAAAATTAGGCTATTTAAGAATACGAAAAATTTAAGCGCCTGCCTTCCATGGTCAGTCTTTCATGTACATTTAAGTTTGCAAAGACCTAATATTAAATACTTGCATAATTTCGAACGTTCATATTTCAGGAAACAATGAGCTAAGACTTACATGTAAGATGTCTAAATCTACGCCATATCCCTTACAAACCTTAACGATAATTCGCTGAAATACAAGTTAGCCTAATATGTCATTAAGCAAACAAACGCTGGAGTTAATATTTGATATGCCGATTTTCGCTAATTTTAGACACATTCCAAAATATGCTCCCCATTTTTAACATTAATATATCCGTGAATTTTTAAGTTAAATACAACTGTAATATATCAAAATCTAAGTTAGTCCTTCCTCTATTTAATGCAAGTTATTTCTCTTTAAAAACTTTACTTGTTTAGAAGTTATTACGAATCAAACAGGAGTACTTTTTTTTGGGCCACCCGGTACTACAGTGCGGTATCCTAGAGTAGGAACGAAATAACTTCACTACAAACGCGAACACATGCTATTTTAATACCAAAGCTTATTATTCCGAACAAACAAACCGGACTAACAAAATTATACAGCGAATGAAAAGTGATGCCTATAACCACAGGGGGTCCAACTAAGAGCTGTGTTATGAATATGACTAAAACATTAATTTTAATTAAACGTAATATGAATAAAACATCATAACGTAATATATTTAAATTATTGCACTTACTTGTATAAATCATAAGAGCTTGTATTTCCAGTGAATAGCTTCAAACAGGGCGCTTATATATGTTCAGAAACATTGCCACTGGCTTCAAACGATTGTTCAAATATGGCGAATAAATTGACAAAACGAAACTGAATATTACATGACGTTCCATCGAAAATAACAGCAAGGACTGCGGGCGCGAGCGAAAGACGAGGGTAATAGACATTAATAGAAGGGATGAAACACCGGTAATTCGATCGTGTGATGTGTTCCATAAGTAGCCTGTTCTCTCGGAAAATTCCAAAACGCCTCCTGCCAACTCCAACAACGCCTGAGCGCTTAATTAATGAAAATAAACAATGTTTAGCTATACCGGCTAATATGAAATATTTAAATGTAGCGACCAACGTTTTTTTTTTCATTATTTAGTTTATTATTATTTCGTCATACGTCACGAGAACAGACTACTTTCTAATAGTTTCCCTGTTAGAAAGCATAATCCCCTCAACTGTATTTTAGTCAATCCTGCTGAACTCCCCATTAATTGTAACAGTAGTTCAAATGACCAACGCGAGAAGTATGCTATGACGAGTAATAACTATCGAAAATCGAAAATTACACTTGCGCATCTTAACGTACGTTCTTTAAAGAATAGGGAACATTTTTTACAGATAAAGGATATGGTACATGAAGAAAATTATGATATATTTGCGGTTTCGGAATCATGGCTTAATTCAACAGTGCGAAATGCAGAGGTTGAAATTACTGGATATCGTCTGTCTCGATTAGACAGATTGGGAAAATCTGGAGGAGGGGTTTGTGTTTATGTTAAAAGTACATTGAAATACACGGTTTTAAAAGATTTAACTGAAATCTCCGATTCCGGTTTCCACCAATTGTGGATACAAATCCAGCACAAGAAACTTAGATCGATATTGTTATGTGTTTGTTACAGACCTCCTGATTGTCCGGTTTCGTGCTTTACGAATAATTTTATGGCTGAATACACAAGGGCACTTACATATGGTAAGGATATTTTGGTTGTGGGAGACTTAAACTGCAATTTGTTGAAAACAACCCAAGAAGCGGAGGCATTGAGAGATATATGCTGTAGTTTAAATCTCGTGCAATTAATCGATAAACCTTCGCGGGTAACATTGCAATCATCCAGCCTGATAGATGTGATCATGACATCCAGTGAAAGTCTGATTGTGAAAAGTGGAGTAGTAGAAGTTAACATTAGTGATCATTTCTTGGTTAGTTGTGAACTTAATTTAAAAAAGCCAAAACTAAAACCAACATATATCAATGCACGAAGTTTTAAAGATTACGATCGAAATCAATTTGTCATGGATTTAGCACAAATTCCTTGCCATGAAAATTTTTCAATTGACGATGTGAATGAAAAACTATCCTCATTTAATGGTCACTTTTTGAGTATCTTCGAAAAACATGCACCGGTTAAGAGCACGAAAATAAGATATCACCGGTGTCCATTTATAAGTAGAGAGATTAAAGAACTTATGAAAATTAGAGATAAATTACATAAGCTTGCACGACGAACCAAGATGACAACAGATTGGGAAAATTACCGTGTTTGTAGACAGGCTGTAAAAAAGGCGTTACGTGAATCTGAAAGGAAGTATGTACAGAATGAAATTCATAAAAAACTTAAACAGAAGTTCTATGTGAAAACTTATAAGGAACTGCCTACTCCATAAAGAGTCAACGGAACTTAATTATTCAAGAAATATCATGGAACTAGTGGAGGAGTCCAATTCCTTTTTCACGACAGTGGGAATTAAAGCATCAGAGTCTGCTACTGCACTTTTAACTAAATATAATCTACCAACCATAGACTTACCAGTACCTGCTCAAATTCCTGTGTCAGATCAATTTCATTTCCATCCGGTTTCATGTAGTGATGTACAGCAGATCACCATGTCTTTTTCCCCAAATAAGGCACCGGGATTAGATAAAGTCCCAATGAGTATTATCAAAGATGCCTTACCATGTATCCTCCCTGCGTTAACATATATTGTTAATTGTTCATTGCTTACGTCCGAATATCCAACATTATGGAAGATGGCAGAAGTTGTTCCCCTCTTAAAAGATGGGGATCATGAGATCGCAGACAATAATCGTCCTGTGTCTTTGCTAATTGCAGTATCAATGATTTGTGAACGAGTTGTATTGAATCAATTGACTGACTATATGTCACAAAGAAAAAGATATACTGAACACCAAAGTGGCAATCGAAAATTTCATTCTACAGAAACATTAAACATTTTTATAACAGATCAAATCTTGCAGTCCATGGATCGTAAAGAAGTTACGGCCTTAGTTTTAATAGACTTATCCAAAGCATTTGATAGCATAGATCATTCAATTCTACTAGTGAAACTTCAAACCATTGGTGTGTCTAATTCAGTGTTGGCATGGTTTAAAAGTTATCTATCGGGACGAAGCCAAATAGCACGTATTGGGTCGACATTGTCGGAAACATGTATTATAACTCGAGGGGTACCTCAAGGATCTATTCTTGGGCCGGCATTATTTAACATATATATTAATGACCTACCCAATGTTCCAAAAGAGTCCTCTTTGGAATCTTATGTGGATGATTCGAAAATCTATCTGGCATTTCCAATTCAGAATGTTGAAACTGCTGTGCTTAAACTTACACAAGATATGGAAAGAATTACCGCATGGTGCTGTATAAATAGTCTGCTAGTGAATCCAAAGAAAACGAAACTTCTATTACTGGGTACAAGTCAAATGCTGAAAAAACTCTGGCACAGATTTCCATATAACTGTTCTTGGTGAGAAAATAATCCCACTTCAGACGGTTAAAGATTTGGGAATGACTTTGGATTCAAGTTTGACTTAGGCCTACGACAAACATATTGTCGATACCGTCTCAAAATGTATCACTGAATTATGCCAAATCAACAGAGTTAAGCATATTTTCGACAAACACACTTTATCCCTTATTATAAATGCACTGGTCTTCAGTAAAATGTATTATTGTTCCTCCGTTTGGTCGAACACCTCTAAAAGGAATATATCAAAACTGCAAAGCGTGCAGAACTTCGCGGCACGCGTTATTACTGGAATCAGAAAATATTACCATGTGATGCCTATCCTTCAGCAATTAGCTTGGCTTCCAGTTGAGTGTATGTTAAAACTCAGGGATGCGGTTATGACATATAAGTACTTGAAAGGGTTAGCTTCGCCGTACTTGTGTGACAAATTCCAAATGAGATCAAAGATTCACAGTGTTAACACCAGAAATAAGGATAAGTTAGACATTCCACTGTATAATTCGGCTTCTGGACAGCGAACGTTTCATTATCGCGCAGTGTCTATTTGGAATGAGCTCCCAAATCATATTAAAGACATTGACACTTTGGACCGGTTTAAAATAGAATATAAACGTCATTTATTGCATGGATTTTTAGAAAGTAGTTAGTAGTTTTAGACAATTTGGACTTGTTTAAATTAGCATATAAACGTTTTTACTGTATGGATTTTATTAGGAAGTAGTTAATCATTTTTAAAGTGACATTACTAATAATTATAAAATTTTTAATTTGTGTTTGTATGTATGTACGTATGTTTGTGGGTGTATATATATATATATATATATATATATATATATATATATATATATATATATATATATATATATATATATATATATATATATTGTTTGTAGTATATAAATGATTTGTAATTACCTGCTGAACAGCCCTTTTGGGAGCAGGCAATATTGTAATAATAATAATAACATTTTAATTACTTATGGAACACATCTCGCGAAAATGGCGTAGAATGCTCGCTGTTATAAATCATAATTAAAGCATTATTTCGTTTAGTATATTGAATCATTTTCGAGATTTTAAAAACAAATCTGTCATGCCAAATTTTTCAAGATCGGGAAAATGTAATAATTCGTAACAATTTTTTTAAAAATCATAACAATGATTCAAAATACTAAAGAATTATTTTTATGAAATAACAAGGGGGTAAAAGACCTCATTTTCAAGTTAAACAACTTTCAACCCAAAATATCGGCATGGTAAAGCGTCATTGTTGCCATAGCAACGGCAGTTGCGAGACCTTTTATTTTCAAAAAAATCCAACTCAGTAGTAATTATTTTTCTAATCGGTCTTTCTTTGTTGTTTAACATATAGGAATTGTTGAAAATTGGATCTAAATCGGAGATCTTCGATTTTCTAGCAAACTGTATAGAAAGTGAAGCATAATTCGCATTCTGTAGCTTCCCATGCTCCCCGCGCGATGTGAAACCTGTGAGCACGACATTGGCGCGGGCTAATAAAAGTGCTGCGCAAGCGTATGTATATGAGCATATTTCTGCTGAATATCTGAAACGCAGCCTTTGTAATGAGAACGAGGCTACAGAACGGTGCACCTTGCGTAACTATTTCATTTGTTGTAATTTTGAAATTTCATCAATTTATCGAGATGTGAAACATATATACCTTATAGAAAAATTAGCAGTCATGCTACTTGGAAATTTTAATAGGCCTACTGTGTTTTATGACCGATTCAGTGAGTTAAAGACACATGTACAACTGTGGTGGTTTGTGGATGTCGTCTGCAACTTTTAAGCCATTTGACACTACCAGTTTCCAAATGCGGATGAATTTAAACCTGTCCTGGAATGCCAAAACTATTCCAGTATTTAATCGGAAAGTTGAAGGTCTCCCTTTTGATAAACCCCTAAAAGGACATGCGACTTGTCTAGTGCAGTGTCATAAAGGGTCGATTTCAGTGACAGACAAGATAGTCTGCCAGAACTAGTTGATTTTCAGAAGAAGAATACAGAAAAAGATCCCAAGGGAAAGAAAACTGAAAAGCTAAAAGTTAACAAGATGACCGCGCAGACAAAACTACTCGTGTTAACCCCCAAATGGTGTTGAACTCTTACAGCAACTGTATTTGATAGCTGTGAAGTCAATTATATTTCAGGCCCTAGCTCTATGTCAGTAAAGAAATATTGTCGTGTTGAACGCATGTTATAACCATAAATTATTTCCAACTTGTGTGGCAGCTTGGTCTCAAGTACAGGGGTAGAATATGTCTTTTTGCACTCAAAAGCGTTGATATACCGAAGAAGGATGACTCATTACCGAAAGCTAAGTTTAACGTTATTACATTTTGTGAACACAATCACTACGGAGCAATTAATTTTTTGAACAGTTTTTGGTGAAGTGGATCATGAAACCTAGAAGATTAGCTGTACGTAACGTAAAAATAATCCCCTTCCGAATGCACAGTTAAAACACTGAAGCAGAGTTGAAACACTGTTATTATAATTGACATTACCTAAAAACATAGGATCATGAGTAGTAAAATTATAGTACTTGCTTGCATGGTTTCACTTGGCTAAATTAGCAGCGATTGATACACCGGATGGAAAGCGTAATTTAAAAATGAAATTAAAGCCCAGCAAATGACTTTCAGACAAGACATAACAAAAATATAAAATTTATCGGCTAACGTTTCGTTGTATTGTTCACAACATCTTCAGAGCAATTAAACCTATTTACAAGCGTGCATTATATATATATATATATATATATATATATATATATATATATATATATATATATATATATATATATATATATATATATATATATATATATACAAATTTTTAAACGGTTACATTGTTCAAATAAGCGAATAAGAGGAAGGGATGAAAAACAACCTATCATTAAAAATATTAGTAAATTAAAGATATAATGGTTAGTAATTATTAGTAATTAGAGACCTATAGCAAAGCATTAGAATAGGTCAAGAGGAGTTGACCTAATGTTGGCATTTAAAATAGGATTAAGTTTAGATATGAAAAGGCTTTCGCGAATGAGTAAACCCGCTTCAGAAGTAGTAGTGGAAAGGATTTTAAAATCAGAGGGTGAAATTTGATGTTTAGTGGTATGGATATGAGCGAGTATGCCTGACATGGTTGAAACAGAACGTTTCTTTCCAGTCAAAGGTGAAACACCCATATGTTCAGAGATACGTGTGTGTATGTGTCGGCGAGTTTGACCAACATACAATGCACCACAGCATTGACACTTATACAAATACACAACATGCGATCTCAGTTCACAGGGAATTTTGTCCTTAAATGGAAAGAAGTTCGAAAGACGGAAAGAAGGACGAAAGACGACACGTAAGGAAATATGTGGATAGGCAGAAGAAAGAAATTTCTGAAGTTGTGATCGAATTTGCAAACCATGATGACCAGTGAAAGGAAGACAAAAATATATAATCTTTTTAGAGCAAGTATGAACTTTACCTCGAGAGTTATACATTTTATCAAGAAATGATTTGATACAACTATCAACAAGTGTTGCAGAATAACCATTAAGAGAGAACGTTTTCTTGATTTTTTCCATTCCGGAATGGAAAAATACATAAGAAGAGCAAATGTTGAAATAACGAGAAATAAGAGAGAAAAGTAAACCTTTCTTGTACAGCATTGGAATAAAACTGTCAAAATTGGTAAACAATCCAGTGGAAGTAGATTTATGATGAACCGTGGTAGCGAACGAACCGTTAGATCGAATGACCTTGACATCTAGAAAAGGAAGGCACGAATTACTTTCAAGCTCATGAGTAAATTGAATGTTGGGGTGTTTCGAGTTTAGATAGGAGAGGAAAGGAGTAACATGGTCACGTGATGTGAAAATAAGAAAACAATCATCAACATATCGACGGTAGAATATAGGCTTAAAAAGAGAAGGGCAGTCAGCTAACCAGGATTTCTCATGAAAAGATAGGAATATATTAGCAAACAATGGACCTAAGGGGGAACCCATTGCTACACCGTCAACCTGCTTGTATAGAACACCATCAAATAAAAAATGTCAATTCTTCACAGAAAGGTTTAAAAGATCTCTAAGTTGATCGCGAGAGATGGAATGATAGTGTGTAGCACTAGCAAAGCATTTATTAATGATTATATCAATAGTTTCATCTAATGGTATGTTAGTAAAGAGAGACTTAACGTCAAAACTAGCCATTATGACATCATTTAACTCACATAATTCCTTAACAAATAAAAAGGTGTCATTAATTGTAAAAGTGTTAGTAGAGAAAGGACGGAGAAGAGGAACAAGAAATTTAGCATGTTTGTAGGAGTGAGTGCCTATAGCAGAGATTATAGGTCTAAGTGGGAAATTAGGCTTATGGACTTTAGGTAAACCATACATAATACCTGGTCGTGAGCCAATAGGATTAAGGATCCAAAACAATGTATAGAGACTGTCGAGGCCTGAGTGAGATATTTCGGCTCTCTTCATGCCATGATAATATGCGGAGACACTTCGAAGGCTTGCACATTTCCAGAGAAATCGTCTCTGAAGTTGAACTGATTTCGTGTTATACATCACGCAACCCACACAGGACTCGAAAATTCCTAAAAGAAAGAGATGTTATTACTTATTACCTTGCAAATATGCAAAGATGTGCAAAAACAATATGTGGGGTATTTGTACCTCTCGGAGCAAGATTAATGGCCTGTATACGGATGCGGTTATCCGGCTATAGTGAAATCGTGTTTTTCGGCTGAGTGTCAGTTATATTTTATGCTTCTCCAGATCTCCGCAAATCGATTGCATTATTATCCATAATCTTTATTGTTTTACAACTATTTTCTCTAGCTGCCGAAAGAGTCACAAAACAAATGTAGATAGAGAGGAAAACGCCTGGTTAAGAAGCGAAAGAATGTCCAGAGGAATTGACCCATGCGGAGGTATTGGGCAATATGCCGAGATAGCGATAAGTCTTAAGAGACTTATAGTTAAAAGCGTAAACAGTTTATTAGTTTATTGAAGTAATGTGTATATTGGTCAGATGTGTTCTGAAAAACTACACGCTTTATTATTTCCTAGTGAGAAGTTTGAATAATATGTGCAGAATGTATAGTGCTTCAGTTATCGTGCCTTTATATAATCTGAGCTTGTGTCGGGCACCAGCACATACAAGTCCTTGCTTCACCTGCCTGGAAAGCAGAAAACTATAAAACATAGTAAGAGTAAAGTAACTATATACGTACATGCATAGCTATATACAACTTGAACGAAAAAAAAATCTTTTCGGATCCGTGATGGTGCTAGCAAAATGAGCTGATAAACATATAATAACTATAATCAACTGCATGTCATCTTTATTACAAAGATTGAGTTTTTTATACCGGCAGTGAAAAGCTTATACGCGTCTCTGGTTTACTTTTATAATTCTTGAACGTACTCTTATTGTCACACATATACCACGCACCATGTTTTATTTATACCTCGCATAGTGGGTCAATTTTTCTGGACTTTCTGGAGAACGGCTTTCGCTTCTAACCAGGCGTTTTCCTCGGATCTTTATCTACATTTGTTTTGTGAATTTTTCGGCAGCTAGAGCAAATTGCTGTATAAAACATGTATTAGGAATAATGCAATCGATTTGCGGAGATCTATACAAGCATAAATATAACTGACCAGGGCGTCTCAGGGGACAAATGGGGCAATCTGCTTCTGACTGAATTTGTCTAAAATACTTTTTATTTGATAAATGATAGAAGGAAAAGTTATAAAACGACTTCTTTAATTTAAACACGAACATTATTGATTTGTTGCATTGATTTGATCAGTTGCATTGATTTGATCAGGTGACCACCGAACAGAGATGTATTGCCGCCTAATCGCGTTTGCATGGAAAAATATCCATCTCCAGTTTACAATATTCTGTATACAGAGTGAAATTTTAACTAAATGGACTAGCATTGTTCTCCAATAAACCTAAGACGAGCATTAACAAGAAATAGTTGCTAGGACACCATCTCATAAAAGTTAGCCCGCCCATGCATAGGAGAGGATTTGCCTCATGATAAAGACTCCTTCCTTTGTCGCGGGAAATGAGTTTGACCAAAACGTTTCTCACTTGATATGAATAACTTAGTTATTCATCTACATATTTTAATAGGATATAAATTTCAGAAGCAATCCACTTTTTTACTACGCCTTGCGGAATCCATTAGGTTTTCAATCATGAATGACGGACTCCAATGGGACAAATATTACTGCCTCTCAAATCGCCCGTTCCAAATAGATATTTGGCTTATTATTACTTTCGTGAAAAAAACATACATTATTCAATAAAAAACACGGATACATGTTCTGTAGACCTTCGCACGACTTCGGTGCAAAGTTAGAAAAATTGCAAATATCCGTCCTAATCATGAGCGCCATTTTGGATTCCTGAACATGTCTAATATATTTGAGGATAAACAAAAAATAATCAAGGAAGTTATAGATGTATTAGGAAGCCAAACGAAATTTGAGTCAGAATTCGTTGCACCGTTCTTGCAGACAATGCCTCTTAATACTCACTTGCATCACCATAAATAATTATGAATGACTGTTGGCCGAAATAACGGTTCTACATTTTGGAATTTAAATTTAATTCAAATGTCGTTATATATCAACCGACAAAAAGTACACTTTTATTATTTAACATTATAATAGAAACAGTAAACTGTGCTGATTTTGTGCTGATGAGGATATTAATGATAATTTCATTAATAGTATATTTGTAATAATAAAGCGATTAATATAGTAATTACAAATATGATGACAATTGTTGTTATTGTGATATTAAGTGCGACAATAACAACTATGGTGATCACAATGAATAAGTGTTATGATACATATCATGATAATTCTGATTCCTATTAATTATCGTACTTCACTTCACTATTATTGCGGTGCCCAAATGTTTTACATTTGCTGCGTAAATATGTTAATATGTTAGTCTGTTAGCCTGGCAGTTGGTTAGTCTTTTGGTAGATTAGTTTGTTCGAAATCCTAAGCCTAACTGTTCAATACAAAATAGTATTACTGCGGCCCCTGTGATACATTTGTTTTGCGATTGACACTGCAATCTGTGCCTGCATGGTCACTATGAACGTGACAGTGAGATGATGGTATATTGGCGTTGTTGTGTCGTGTCGATTATTTATGATATCGAAATCTCGCACATAAACACTTCCCCATAATCTCAATTCCGCGTCGGCGTAACGCACTGTTCTTGTAAAAAAATATCAAGTAATTCAGAGTTGAATTCATGGTGAGGAAAGTGTCCTCCCAAAGGCGTATGACAATAAGTGTTCTGTTGTTATCCTCATCATTGCGGTCAAGCACTCGCGTCAGCTTTAAAACACATATAACAACAGTTGGAAAATAGCAAACAGACAAACAGACGACTGCTAGCAAACATGTGGAAACCTTGCCAAGAGAAAAGTTATGTTTCTTGACGTTAACATACTCCTCTTCACAATCATAAGTTCCCAGAGTTATGGCCACGCGTTGTCGCAATGTCTCCACCGTCGAAAATATTTTATAGTTCAGAAAATACATTACAGAGAACACCGCTCCGATGAGGACAAGTAAATACGCTTCTATGTAAGTTTCTAGGGTTTGGTTTAGAAACGCAAAATAGGGAATTCCGAATGGCAATTGCATTAGCACAAAAATGGCTAACAGTCTTGATTTTGTCACAAAATTCTCGTGAAAAAATGGGTACACCACAGCGAGATATCTTTCCAGAGTCATTGTTAAAAGTGCGGTCAACGAAAACGCAAATAAATGTTCAAGATACAACACTTTGACGGAACAATAGGAAGTCATGTACAACCACCTCAGTATAGTTTCCAAAATTATCAATGGATGAAAGATAACAACCACGGCGAGGTCAAAACAAGACAGAACGAGAATCATGAAGTAACATAATTTTGTTCGCAGTTGCGAATTACATAGACTCATTATGACAACAGAGTTTAAAAATGTTCCAACAAATGTGAAGATAGCATTCACAACACACAACGGCACTGCGTCGGGTACTTTGAAGAAGACTGTTACGTGTGCGGTTGTGTTCATTGTGTAATTTTTGCTGCGTGGTATGTAAACTTCGTATATCTTCCTGTAAACAACACACAATAGTGCTGCATTGAATTTGAAGATAGCTGTTACAGACTTGTTGCGGCAAAGTTCATCACAATCTTAATGCAGAATGTATTTTCCACTGATTCAATTAAGACTTTGAATATATTTTTCCTCGGATAAATTTTTCCTCAATGTCTATTTCCAAAGACACAATGCTGAGTTTCGAGTGCTCATGCAGGCACGTCCTGCAACTTGAAAACACCTGTCCAAAAGTTAAGCAACTTAAATGGTAATTGCAACCAGACCAATGAAAATGATCTTTATTTAAGCGTTGCGCCAATATTTTCTGAGTTACTTCAAAATTGAAATTTAAAATTTAATAAACGTTTGCAATGTCGCTCAGTGAGTGAGAGGTGCTTTTAAAATAAAGTAATTTAGCATTCCGCGCTTCCCAATACTAAAATCGTTCCAAGCCTTTCTCTAATTCAAGAGCGCCCTCGACACAAAGTTGGTTTCTCCTGCCACGTCTTCACAGTATATATAGTGCCAAACATGAAATACAGCAAAATTGAAGATGCAAAAACATTAAGAAATTCGACAACTCTGAAAAGGAAATAGCAATAAAAATTACATTTGTCTCTGGTTACTGAGCATTCATTGCATGACAGTGGGCTTAATGAAGAATTTCGCTTTATTTCGATTTATTTGTAGCGAAATAAGGCCAAAATTGCAGGTTTAGGTAGTTATTAATTATTTTTAATTATTTTGGTACTTAGTTCTTAATTATTAATTTAATGTTGTGACTTGGACTTATAAATGTAGCCAGAACTACATTAACTTTTAGAAGATACTACCTTGCCTAAATTTTCTAAGCGATTATTTTCTAAGCCTCTTCACACTCCACGTTGAAATGTTTATGTACTTGTTAAAACATGAGCTCGCTAATAGAGCGAAACAGAAGACGGTAATTGCCGTCTGAAACGAAACGATCTGGACTCTGAACGATCTCTTCTTTTGTCGAGTTCTTTACCAAATGACATAACTGAAATAAATTTCGTGCTTTCCGCCGCCAACATGAATTGCACACACCATCTCATAATTGGGACAATTTATTTATAACAATGGCGACAGCGCATCACACATTATACGGCAATGCTAATGTGGTCGCACGACTTCCCTCACGAGTTGAAGTTTGAGACTGGTTTTCCGTTGAAATTCGTCCTAATTTGCCTGTTCCGATTTTATTTGAAAACGAGCACTTGCAAATTTGGCAATTACTGACTGCGTTGCTTGCTTTTTTGGAGTTAAAACGCAGTCATTTACACAATTACACATTGTTTCTATTCTGATAAGGAGAGAAACCCCGCAACATTTTAATCCGAGTTTGTTTGTTAATATTTGGGATGCTGTCATTGGTTCTTTTTTGACAATTGACGCGCGAATGGGGCGTGTTATGAAAAAGGGGAGTTTTACAAAATTCCGGGTCTTGCTTGCGGGCACACATGTGGCTTTTCTGTTATTTTCATAGTTTATCTTCTTTAAGGGAATATTCTAGTGCTTGTCAACTAAAAACTGTGAAACAGGCACTTTGTTAGCCAGTATACAGCAGAAACCGTGTGACTTGATGCGCGGAGACTGGAATAGATTGTAGTGCCATACTTTGCACGAGTATTCTAACTGACTCGCATTAACTTGTTTAGTGAAATGGAGGATCTCTTTAATTATCGTAGGGCATACAGCCTCTTTTCAGCTTTCTTACAAATGTAGTCAATATGTAGGGTCCAATTGCACCCTACTTTATATGTTACTTTGTCTAACACCAACAATTTTACTTGTCAACAATAGAGCACTGGTGCTCAATGGGTTAACATATAAATAATGTCTAACTACTCTACAGTAAATTTTTCTGTAATTGGAGCCTGGTATACTGTATGTGAGACTGTCACTATTTCTTCAAAGTGTGTTTTAATGATACTAGCTGTCACTATTTTATAAATATAATTGACCTTTCTCATTTAGGGTGATCCGGTGATGTAAGTCATGTCGACAATTTCTTTGGAATGTTCAAATAACAAGAATACATATATAGTGGTGTAGTGGTAGCACTTGCGCATGCCAGACCTACTGTAACTGGAAAAACTAAGATTGACTTTTCTCCAAAATGTTGTGAGCATATTTTATATATACTACAAGAAATGACCCAAGGCTTTAAAACATAGAACAGCCAAAGAATAGCCCATGCATGGAGCTACAGTTATAATAATTCTCTATCACAGGTAACTTGATTGTACAGTTATAATTATTAATTTGATAATTATTCTTTGACCAAGTTTAATTATAATAATACAAAATTAATCAAGATTTTGAATCTTTAATTTACAAACATGTTGCTTGGTACTGAGTTTCATTAACAGTTAAACGACAGTGGCATGGACTCATGCATTGTTGGAAAATTCTGCATCTCTATTGTTTTGAAAATATTTTCATATTTCAATATTTTCATGTTTTTGGAAAATTCTGCATCTCTATTGTTTTGACAATATTTTCATGACCAATTTTGTTGTTTTGACTTCATTTTGACCAAGTCAGTCAGGTTAGTGTTATCTTGTCTAACCATTTAGAGATCTTGTTTTGTTCAAGTGAGATCTCAAAAGGAATTTCCACTATAAAAATATTAAAATAACCACACAGTGAAGTCTCGCTTACTGCAATATGGAAGAACTAGAGACAATTAAGTTAAGTTAATATTTGAGGGATGGGGCAAAAAGCTAATGGCCTTTTAAAGATACATACAACAAACTATCAGACATATTAAAACTACAATGTACAATCCTGGATATAAAACTTTCCTTCTCACTTCTCAGATCAGCTGCCCTGCTAGGCAGCTGAGCTTTGTCCTGTACCAGTCCTCCACAAGCTCATGCATAACAAAACCCTTGGCTAAATATATAAAACCTTAATTTTCTTTTTAATACATGCACCAGCACATCATAGTTTCATCTCTTAATTCATATATATGTACTGTGCAACTCGATATTGCGAGGGATGAAATTATTGCATAAAGTTAATACAGTAAATACAAAAAGGTTTATCTACAACCACATCATAAACACTTGGGGCTTATTTTCTAAAAAATAAAGTACATTTTACCATTTATTCCTAACATTGTTTCATGAAATACTAAAATAAAAATGTGAATTTTAAAATCTTTACCTGTTTATAGTTGACTCCATGTTTATAGATTGTTATTTATAGCCCGGCTTGAAATATTATTTTTGTCCACATTTTTGGGAGGTTTTAACAGTTGTTTGTTGTCTTTCACGGAAGAGAATAACGTGTACAACTTTCACATCCTTGAACAAATGGTCAAACGTCGAAAAAATATGTCGAAAATATCAAAACAACAAGACTTCACTGAAAAAATCCGAAATACTTTTTTCAGAAACAAGGGGGGGGGGGGTTGAAAACTGTGGCGGGCTCACAATTGAGCCTTGTTCAGTGGCAATTACCATGAATTTGGAAATGACGTCATGGAAACGCCCTCATTTTCACTCAAAATCCGCCATGTTTTTGGCTTCACTTTGTTGACTGAACGAAGTATAGGAGCAGGTCTTCCAGTTATTATACAGCTCAGTGGTCACATTCGACTGAAATGTATAGTAGTACATGAGAAACTGAAGGGAATGGACCATTTGCATTATAGACTAAATTTTAATCTAGACAAAAATTTCATCACAGCTTGAAAGAGCATCACAAAATTAGTAATATTCCAAAGTTTCGTTGCGAAATGTTGTAAAATGAGGATAATATAGCCTTGCGAAGTTTGCCGTTTTCAGTCATTTTGTATTACGCACGCGAAATTGACAGCCCAATCGGGTGTTGGGGCATCAATTTCCCGTTTGTAATACAAAATGACTGAAAATTGCAAATTTCGCAAGGCTATATTATCCTTATTTTGCAACATTTCGCAACGAAACTTTGGAATATTACTAATTTTGTGATGCACTTTCAAGTTGTGATGAAATTTTTGTCTAGACTTGTTTAGATCAGAATTTAGTCTATAATGCAATTGGTCCATTGCTAGCAGAATAATTTTTAAAATAGTAACTAAGGAAAGCATACCCAAGATCATGGTTCTTTAACACAAATAGAACATTTTAATGATTAAATGGCTACAGATACCATATTATTTTAACTACCATGCTAAATTTTCAAAGCAATTGCTACTCTAAAATACAGCCCAGAAACCAGTTGTATTCAAACCAAAGAATTTAAATATACTAAAACTGTCTGTACCAGTGTAGGTAGTACCAATGTAAAAATGCTGTGCTGACTGGTTATATTACTACCTTAAAAAATAAGCAGAAACTCGACGTTCCGAGCGAAGGCTCTTCTACTAACTCTTGACGAAGGGCCTTCGCTCGAAACGTCGAGTTTCTGCTTATTTTTTAAGGTAGTAATATAACCACTCAGCAAAAGAATTTAAATACCCATTATTCATCAAAATTATTAATCAATGTAAAAGTTTTTTTCCTCTTCAGAATAACATGCTTTCTTCTGTAGCCATGGGCGTACCGGAAGGAAAAAATTAGGGGGGCGGAAAGAAAATTGCCCGACTTTTCGGGATTCTGCCCGACTAGTACCAACTCGACTGTGTTTGGTTGATTTCA